TGGAGACTGTTCCTCTGGATGTTCTCCACTCCATAACGTCACAACGATGCACGAAAAACATGGTACCTCAGCGGTCGTTTTCTTATAATCGAAAATCTGCATTAGGAGTCTCGATAATAAACTGGTGAACTAGTTCAGGATCAATCCTTGTGCGCCACCAGATAAGATTAACGGACTTCATCTCCCTGGTTGACAAAGTGTAACTGATCGAATGTAACCCTTAATACGCTGATATCTTTTTCTCAACTGGGTGAGAGGATGGTGTGTGCGTACACAATCTAAGACTCAAAAATCAGCCTCTAAGTTACCGACGGCTGTGCTCAAGGAAATACGAATCCTCGATTCCCGAGGTCGACTTACCGTTCCAATCCCATACAGATTTTAACAAATTCGATGAACTAGACCACAAGAAAGTCCCCTCTCACCCCATACAAAGTTCACATTCGCATCCGTTACTAATGTGCGCAACAACATGTCCATTCAAATTATTTAAGAAATCGGGAAGCTGAAACCATACTGACCTATGCCAAGCAGCATATCTGTCAGAACAATTCACCTGGATGACTGTCATAACAAAATCTTGTGTTCACTTTATCACTTTGTACTTATTCTCTTGAATTTTCCTCTTCTCTTTTTCAGCTTCTGTCGTCTAGTTGTACGTCAGCTAGAGCATAAAACCGGGCATTTATCCACTCTCTGTCCCATGGCTTTTGCAGTCGTTTAATATTTCACACGATCAGCATACGTGACGGTTGGGAATGCAAGGCAATTTTTGTGTGTATCATGACCAGCCAACCGCGTTCGTATACTTGATCACTGCTAAGGCTCCCCGGGTTTCCTACTTTCTCACTAATTAACATATCTATTCTTCGCTCTCCGAACCTTCTCTTTATCCATTGTTCAGATGAACTGCTGCAGTTATCATATCATCATTATCAGTTGTATACCCTCTGTTTAATTATCCAATTAGCGGATCAACTTAACCAGATTCTGCCCTCATTCCAGAATTTCTCCAATGCTCAATCCCCGGATCATACGTTCACTATTTCATACAACAAAATGGCACAATCACTCAAGTTTGCCCGATTTGAATCAAACGGTTCCGCATGTGCCCGTGATGTGCAATGAGGTTGTGCGCCTGCTGAATCCGCAGCCGAATGAGGTTATTGGTCCACGTTTTGCATGTCTGCCGCTTGTTATTCATTCTATACAAACACAGCTGATAAATGAATTTCGCGGGTAATGTTTGTTGATTAAACTTGTTTGTAACATGCTTTAGTGTGATCAACAGAAGAATAAATAGTAGTTGTATCATCGATAATCTCGTATTCGGGTACCAGAACCGGCGACTCGGAGTAACAAACCATGCGTAAGACCCCAGTAAATTTCGAACCTATCTACCAGCAAGATTGAGTGATCTTAGTTGGGTTCGAACCCCGGGCATTTGGGTCTGGTAAACGCCAGTCAGAACCACTCAAGCCACTTGGCCGCCACCAGAGGTCATCTCTCGAATAAAGAACATGTTCAACATGTGGTTCGACACCCGACGGGATAATGAAAACTATACACACTGCTGAGGAGTACCAATAAGGGTGAAACAGCTAGCTGTTTAATGCTCTCTGTAGGCCATTTCCCTCATATTCGATGACCTGTTTTTACGGCAAAAGTAGGGGATTACTTTTGTGCATTGCTCAGTATTGCTGAGCAACTAGGTGGGGTTGCGTATGTGAGAGACAGGTTTTGATCTGTGCTAAACTGAAAATGATGTAGACAGTATTTTACTTTATATATTTCATATGATTTTTATATCATATGGTAGGGGGCATCAGCTTTCAGTTACACAAATTCCCCTGGACTGAGTCCAGAGATTTATCGATTTTGGCTGATCTCTCTCGCATTGTTCCTGGTTTGTTTAGGTTTTCCTGGATATGACATTCGGTGCCGGTGGCCATACCCAGGCCATGCTTGACGCAAATCCGTCATTGCAATGTTTTGCAATGGATCGTGATCCCGAATTCCTAAAACATGTTGAGCGGTTAAGAGGCAAAACGAAGTAAGTCGTTACAACGAGCTATATTTATGAATGAAGAAATGTGTGAACTCAGCACACCTTTGAACTGGGTTTTTATTAGTTGTTATTTTAGAATTCGGGTGAGCTGTTCTGTACTTAGAGGCAGATAATGTTGACTGGTCAATATGTACGGGCAGACGATATGATAGTACCATTGGTTAGCACATTAGTTTCGTCAGAAACCTGTTTATGGTGTTCTTAGATCTTGGGTTTAACTGTAGATGGACCTTTGGACGTTGCATCTTCGTATGTCTTCAATCCTGCCATGGTCCCTCCCTCCTGCTGATGGCATTGTCATTCGGGTAAATTGTTTATTAACCAACCAAGCCTGCTGTCAAACAGCTAGTGGTACTCCGCTGAGTGAATCGCGGGTTCCAGGACCTCGTGAACTTTTAAATCTAAGGATGTTCGATGTGAGGACCCTGATCCAGATCGACGAACAAACTTCCTTTGCGCGTACAATTGACTTCGGTGTTCGATGTCTGTTGTTTATGGGAAATAAGATTTCTGATTTATTGTAGTGTAAACCATCTTATCATCCCAGTCCACTGTAGGGGCATTTCTTTCCTACATTGAGGCTTGTTGAAATAGCGAACATAGAGAAGGTATCGTACAGAAAGACAAAACCAAGACTTCACTTGTATGTTTGTTTCCAATCAATGGTCGTTTGTGGTTGAGTCAGATGTTGACAAACAGGAGTCGAAATGAAAGGAAACCGTTTGACTTGGAGCACTAGATGATCTGCGGCTTAATTCATAACTTGGTTCCCTCAGGTAATGATGAATGCATCGACCACGTTTATTCTTCCCTTTTTTCTAAATTTTATTCATGCTAAAACGTCTATCGATGGACTCATTTGAAGAAAGTCGGACTTAAAAGAGTTCGTGAACCAGATGAACTTGTTGCATACGATCATCCGGTTCATTCGGCGCAAAATTGAACCCAGTGTATTCGCTTAGAAAATATTTTGTTAAGTAACCTTTTCCGGCTGACATACTTGATTCCGGATCGTTTTCATTGAGAGGTCTTTGTCGACTTCGGTGTTCACTCGATTACCCTATTGCTGTGACACTTGGATTTCCATATTTAGTGGCTTTACAGTGTAGCTCAGATGCTGACAAAACTTTCTGCTGGTCGTTTTAAAAGAAGCATAACGTAGACCAATGTTTTTTTGCTATCAGTCATAAACAGCTCGTGCGCCAGAGATGGTCTCTTTCATCCTCCTGAACGAACTAGGGCTACCTTGAGGAGTTACTCACTGGTCTCATGATTTTCGCTGTTCGATTGGCTGTGGCCCTCACTAATTGATGGTCCGCAGGCCACTATACCACTATATCTGGGCGGTGGTGGCCCGGTGGTAACGTCACCAAATTACCACCTCGGGGGACGTGTGTTCGAATCCCAACACCACCGCCCGACTTTCCCCATGGCCTTTGATTGGCCGCTTCCCCCTTCCTGAAAACTGTTTCTTTGTGTATTCAATAAAATGAAGTAAATTACAAAGAAAAAGTAAAGTTTACCGAATTATTACCCCACAGGCCGTGTGTTCGAATCCGACCACTACCACCTAACTGTCCCCATTGTGTTATATGGCAGCCCTTTGACGGATCGCTTCACCGTTCCTGAACGTGTTATCATTATGTACTCAATAAATGAAAATAAAAATGATAAAATCAAAATCCATGGTCTGCGGAGCTGCGTGCTATTTGGTGAGTCTCCCCATCAGGGATAGGAGAATGCTAACACGGGTTGGTAAGCATTGCTTTATAGAACAAACGGCCCAGAACGACAGACATTAATGTCTGCGGATGAGACAAGCCTTCGCCTGTCTTTGCACAACAATGTCCTTAAATTCATTACGGCGTGTGCGAATCTGACCGACCACCAAATACAATCACCGTCATCAACCTGTTACGCTACAATTAGTGCTTGATTATGCTAGGGGTATGGGTGTATCCTCGAACCAAAAGATTCCAGTGATACTGAGGATACCATTTTTCTAATCATTTTACAGGCAACATTCATGAACTTCGCCAATGGGCTGACGTGTCATCACGCAGAACCAAATCGCCCATAAAATAGAAGTAAATATTAAACAATGGTAGAGAGCTAGCCATCGATTTCCTACATTTAAACATCATTCAGAGGACAGCAGGACTAAGTTTTAAGAACTGAATTGTGACATGCTTTCTTCTATCAGTCTGATATAACCCCCGATAATGGATAGGATGGCGTGCGATTAGCTCAATCGGTTTTGTTCATCGTTCTGTAATTGAGTACCGAATAGAAGATTACACGGGTGTTTCTCTGTTCATCAGGTGTAAACTTTCAGCCGTTCTAGTCTTAGAATCCAAGAGTTCAATCTCCTAACTGAGGTTTAAATTTTTGAGAGATCTTACATGAGTGCTCTGGACGACATAACGCTCAATCTTGAGGTATTTTATTATCTGAGATTTTTGATGCTCGGTCAGCTAGACTCATCGATTCATCTACACCATGATTACTCCTCCAAGAAGGAATATTGAAACATTGATCTAAAGAGGACGTTCATCAGCTGACGAATCGTCCCGTGCCCGGTTCGAGGCTTGTTTTTGATTGCATCCAGAGTATTCTATTTTTCTGTGCAGTTGTCATCTCATTCCAATGCTCGGACCGTTCAGCCAGTTGCCTGTTTTGGGTGAAACTCATGGATTCCATCCAAACACGGTGGATATGATTTTGATGGATCTGGGAGTTAGTTCTATGCAATTGGACGATCCACATCGAGGATTCGGGTTCAGACACTCTAGTCGCTTGGATATGCGTATGGATGGAGTTGTGTGAGTTGGTTTTTCTTGCAGGTTTGTGCTACTTAACTCGCTTTTATTTTCCGAAAGTTTATCGATCCAGTAGCGGATTAGAGGATTGCTTTTTCAGGACAAAAAAGATGCCGAAAATAGTGTGGAACTTTATACGTTTGCTTGCTTGACATGCATTATTAATGTGATGATTTTCTTACCTATTGCTTCAGTCCAATCCAACGTCCCCGTGGTAAGATAGCGATGGATGAACAGTGCATGTTTTGAGATTAGGCAATTTGATGAGATCAGTCGTCACGATATGCGGATTTCGAGCTGCGCAATAGTCCCACTAGACATGCATTGATTATTCCTCCCCGTGTGCTGTGGCAGCTAACTTGAGGGGTTCCGTCTGGAGCCTGCGGTTGCCCAAATCTGATTCAGCTGAACGAGTATTACTATCAGGAGTTGAAGTTCCATCTCTGCTGTTGCTCAGGGTGATTCACGCATTCATTCAGTAAGACCACAGTAGTTCATTAGCTCTAAATGCGTCCCAGCAGATGATGATAGTTCACAACTAGGGAACAGATTGAGTGGTGCACACTGGGGCGTACACCATATAGTTTAAAAGAGGGCGAACAGTAATGCATAGCTTCCTAATAGATACGGAATCTTCATCGCATCACGAGATACAGTGATACAAAATATAACGTGGAATAGTTTAGTCTAACTGGCACCATTCAGAAATGCATCCCGGATTGGACAGCGTATGAAATTCCGACATTCTGTGCCTTTGCAAGCAAAGAGAAACCTAATTGGATATCTAGCCCTCTGGGTGCTGGAAGTTAACATATGGCACCACCCTAGGACAAACATGGGTTCGAGTCAATTCAAGTTAAACAGGAACGCCCCTGAAGAACGGTTCCACAGAACCGGCCTTTCGATAGAACGGTAATGGACTGACTAATTTTCATGGGAATCGTTGGGTCAACTAAGTCATTCTTATTCAAAGACGATTGATCAACTGAATTTATGCAGATGGAGTTATCAGATGTGCTATGCCAGGCAAGCTGCACGTTTTGTTGAAACCTAAGCCGGTGATGTGTTTATCGGCTGAAAAACAAGCTGCCGGGTTTTCAGTCTCACTCTGTGCCTACTCGAGTTGGATCATGAAGGGTGACCGTAAGATTAAGCAGTTCTCCGATCACCACCGTGGAAATCATTGTTTGGTTAAACGGTGGAGTAAGTCGGTCAGTTTGAATCTCGTTGGCTGTGCATCTTTTTCATTGGACTCATGATATTCAAGGTATCGAAAACCCTGTGTGAAATTCCTAACTAACCTGCGAGGTTAATCAGGTGTCGCACTTCCGCTACTGCAAAGACCTTTACACAGCCGAATTCGAGGTCAGCGATTCAAGTCGCGTGACTGGCTTTGATTTCTTGATAGTCGGTTGGAGCGTGACTCCTTACCCACTATATGGTTGAGCAAGATTGGTAGCAAGGAAAGCCCTTATGAATACTGGAAGGAAGCGAAAATCCCACCGACTTCGTAGGTGCGCACGCTAGCTCGCGTTGCATATCGACATGAACTAATCATTATTGTGTACTTCTCAAGCATCTCATCGGGATATTATATAGTGGTGTAGTGGGGGAGGGTGGACTGTCTATTGATGGAATCAAACACAGCGAGAAAGTTAGGGAAGCAAGCTGAAGTTGACTTTGGAAGTTTATAGTGATGTCCTAGGATTTATCTTAGCGTAAAGTCCTGAGCGGCACAATTTCCGGATATTTCCTCGCATCATGTTCACTATTAAGGTGGTTAAGCAGAATTAGTTGCAAAAACCCTCGCCGCCAATGTACTGGGGGCTGACACTATGTGGTTCGCACAGATGGTATTATCCCCCTATTTTAGTATAGGGAGTAGAATGGATGTCGTTCAGTCTTTGAAAGTGCGGTATCCTAGGCGCGGTGGAACAGCGTTCTCAGTGGGTCCAGTAAGCTTGGTAGATAGACTTTGGACTCTTCCGATGGGTTTCCTTTTACGAGGCCGACTTTATGTTTTTCATAGACATCATAGTGACAGCCGCTTCTGATCCGAGAGTTTGGTTAAGGTCGGTTTCATACTGTTCGGAAGCGCTATACAGCTGGGTTTGTAGGGAAAGAGGTTTACCAGGTGGTTGAAGTGCTCGAACCACCTTCAGAGTTTTTTTTCTGTGTCCCAGTATAAGGTGACCTTGTCGTTTCGCCTCTTTCCTGAATCGCAGCTTATGTGTTGGAAAAGTATCCGGAAGTCTCCATCAGCGACTGCTATTTCCATTGTAGTTGCAAATCAGAACAATATTGTTTACGGCCACTTTCTGGAGTTGCGTAAGTTCAGTGAGTTGTGGATTCTTGCATTCAGTGCTTTGTGTCGAGATGTTTTGATCAGTTTTTCGATTGTGGTTGTTGATAAGTGATTTGATCTCTGTCCATCGGGCATCCTTATCATTAGTGATGGGGATCGCAACCAGTCTAGAGGCAAGAGCGCTTGATAAAGCCTGAACGTTGACTGGACCCGTCAACTTGGAAACTCTATCACTCACTGTATCTTCTGAGGGACATTTTTATTATCTTAAAATATGAATTCTAAAACTGATACCAATGTGCGTTTAGAAAATACACTGGTGATAAGCAGCTCACGGGGGAATCACAGTGCAACCATACAGGTGTTTGAGAGAGCTGGGGATAATTTCAAACGCTTTTCAGAGTAAACCCGGGTAAAATGACTGCAGGAGCATAAGGCCAATAGGGCACTATGCAGACAGAAACAAAACGTTTGGTTAGATGCCACGGGTCAGGGAACGGTTTGTAGTGTGAAACACCAAATGATAACCTTCTGAATTCTTTTTAAAAAGCTCTAGTGATATGACCTGACCACGCCAGATGATAGTAAGCATTATACGTGGATGGTTGGCAGTCGATGGTCTGAAAAATGGAGGTCATTTGAATAAGGTATAACGAAATAATTTCGTCCACATATTGAAGGGATACTTAATTGTCAAAAGCCGAAATGAATGATCTATTCGGCATATTTCTCAGTTAAATATACAGCTGCAAGATTTCTCTACTGTCTGTATCACGCTTTGATTACCTCTTTATTATACAACCATTTCGAACACATTGCACCCGAAACGTACGTTCTCTGGTTCATCTGAGATTTGAGCACAAATGACCTCTTGCCCTGCTGTGTGCTCAAATCTGCCTATTTGTATGAGTCTAAGTGAGGTTCGGGATGTTTTCTGCCGAAACCTGCCCAGATGGAACTTATTATGAATGAGATTTTGCTGGTCACAGGAAAGCAAAAAGGTTAGTGTCTTTTGCAAACAGGTTGAAATGTATAAGACATAATAAAAATACAAATGTTTAAGAAAGTGTGATTAATATTTGTTGAATCTATCTTATTTTGATGCTTCAACACGCCATCCATGTTTATTTCCTCGAGACTAGCAATTTGTTTGCAAACGTTTCATCATCAGCCGAGGTGATGTCGTCGGTGTTTGTGGAGTGGCAGCGTTTCAGTTTGCAAGCAAACTGGAAAAAAACTGCAAAGCTCGGTGATCAGGCGAAACGGAATTCAGTTCACCCGAGCCACGATCATCGATTTTCAATACCTTATCAACGCCACCGTTCCTCATCTGTATGCGTATGTCAATCTGTGTTTCTCCCCTTCCCCCGACCTCAAAATCCCATTGTGTCTCAGTTCCGAGAATATCACAGCTGAGGAGGTCCTTAACACGCTGGAACCAGCTGATCTGGCTCGGATTTTTAAATGTTACGGCGAGGAACGCTATGCTCGAAGGATTGCCAACGCGATTTTCGAGCATCGCCATACACTAGGTCCTGTACGAACGGCCAAACAATTAAGCGACATTATCAATTCCGTTGTTCCCCGTCCGAGTGATCGGTAGGTTCTTACATTTCCTCTCGTACCATATAAAGTGAATTGTGACGATTTGATGCTATCATTTACACATACAAAGTCTGGCCTGAGCCAACGTAAAATATTCTTGGCTCCTTTTGGTATGATTGAATGGTCCATTTCCAACTGTTTAATAGGGATTGCCAATTCACTAAATGCATCTTTCCCCTCGGTCAGTCAAGGCAATGCCCACAAGCATTTGATACGGCTCAGACGGGCTTGCAATTTGATTGGTCAAGTGCGCAACTCATGCTCGACTATGAACTTTCTGAGTTCCTTTTTTTAGCGGAAAGCATGGATATCTCAGGAAAAATACGCTAGTGTTTACATGGGATGAAATCCAAGCACTCGTATTGGAAATTTTGGTTCACTTAATGGTCTGCCATTCGGGACTGATTTTCAGCTCCGCGCAAGTGATAACTGTTCAGTAAAGTGCGTGAATACCTTTCACCGTCGAGATAAAGCCCCAGTTACTTTTTACTGGCATTTTCGCATCCTATCCCGGTTATTTTGTTGGTGCGATTTTTCCAGGAGCCGTAATGAACGATCAAATACAAACAGCCGCGGCTACGCAATCCAATGGCCTTCAGAGACTGAACTTTTTCCAGACTCCATCCACTGACCTTTCGGGTGTGACTGGAGACAGCCATCCTGCATAAACTAGGCATACCACGGAAGCAAATCAAAGTGCAGTCCCATCTTGATGGTTCTATGAATTAAGCTGCCGTATTCACTTGTACAGTGTGTCTGATAATGGACGCAGCTCACTCGACTGATCTCGACTGTCTGTCACACAATCGTGTGCAGTTTTCAGTTTGAGTTTGAACAACCATTCATTCACCATACATTTTCGTGCGCCGGTTTTGGTTGCTGTCTTTTGGCTGCCCATTTGGATGAACATCAGGAGAAAGACAGGAAGGCTGAAAATAGGGTCAAAGAGAAAATGCAGAATTTCAGTGGACTAATGTTCCAAAGAAATTGATACGATGTAGAGCACTTTCGATCAGCGGATGAATTTAATGGTCTTCTGGCGTCTATTATCGGACATGCTATGTATCGACAAGTGAACTGGAATTGCATTACACCAGCGGCATCTGGACGGGATGGGGGATATGCACTACTGATGAGCTCTAAGTAGAGCGAAACTGGACGCTAGTGCTAGTCCCGAGTGGATAGTTGACTGCATGAGTTGAGGATTGCGCGTGAAGATGAAGTCTGATAGGTGGTCATTCCACCTCAACTTAAATTATTCCATCACTAATCACAAGTAACTGTTCTTTTTTAAAAAGTGTCTATTGAACATTCTCTATGACAATGGCATAAATATTTGAGCACTTTTTGCTTCCTTTCAACAGGTCCACCTCATCCACCAATCCTAGCACCCGCGTGTTTCAGGCACTTCGGATATTTATTAATGACGAACTAAACGAGTTGTGTGCAGGTTTGGAACTGGCCGAACGTCTACTCCGATCTCCCGGCCAATCGCCTACCGGTCAGGGGGGTCGACTCGTAGTCATCTCGTTTCACTCACTGGAGGACCGTTTGGTCAAATGGGCTTTGTCCAACACAGCCGAATTGATTGCAAATCAAACAGATAACCAACTGTCGTTGGCAAAGCAATTGGCCAACCGGACAGAAAAGAACGCGGTGGGTCTCCATCGTAGACAACAATTGTTGTCCCAACTGGCACCTGAAAAATCCTGTGAAGAACAGTCCCGATTGCGTTGGAAAATAGTAAGTGCTACGTAATCTGTTTCAAACGTTGTTAAGATGCCCATAGAAGTGATTGACCTGTATTCCTATGTGACACCGTTTTGCACCTTCCAAGTGTAAAATGTTGCTACAAGAATGGGTTGGTCCAGCACCCAGTCTCACTCTTACTGGGGAAATAATAGAGCAGGTGGATAAGTTTTGTTATTTGGGCAGCTANGCAGCTACATCTCACCCGGTGGAAGCATCACGGATGAAGTGTCAGCTCGCATACAGAAGGCTCGGTTGGCATTTGCCAACTTGAGACATCTGTGGCGCCGTCACGACATCCGGCTGTCTGCGAAGGGTCGAGTGTATGCCGCGACAGTTCGACCAGTACTGCTATACGGTGCAGAAACTTGGCCATTAAGAAAATAAGATAAAGACAG